TAATGATTAATAGGTTATTGTATTTTACTGTTTTGTCGGAAGCTGCCCAGAGTGGTTGGGGGAACCCAGCCAGATAGTCGGGGTATAAATATATTATTATTATTATTATTATTATTATTATTATTATTACCTTGCATTGCTTACATAAAAAAGCAATGCAAGGCGATAAGGATTATTCTTTCAACATTTTTTTAACAGGGTGAGGGGAAGAGAGAATGAAGATACTAGACCAAATTGGCAATGCCATTCCATTAACAATTATCGTCCTGGCCGTATGGTATTTTGTTTGTTTTCTGATCCTAATTAATCATCTTATTTTTGAGTTAAAATAATTAAAGCTAAATCCTCTCTCTTCATTTTAATCCTTCCCGTGCTAAGCCGCGCACTGTTGCGCCATGCTGTCTATCCTGTGGAAGTTGCTTGGAGCCATTTTCCTGCCTCGCAATCATGTTGTCTCTTGGAAAGTTATAAACTCTGAGAGATGAAAACACCTTCCTGGAAAAAAAAAAGGAAGGAAGGCAGTGTTAATAAGCAGCTCCCTAATCACAGCGGATGTATGCCTAGATCCGTGATCATAGGACACCAAATGTCAATGTTCCTTGCCGAAGCAAGCACTGGAAGTTAAATGCTTTAATTGGGTTTTACTTGCTTTGTTTTGTTTCAAACCTAAATGAATCATAGAGCTAAAAGGTATATTGTGCAAGCTTGAATAAAAGTCATTTGCCAAAAGTCTGTGCAGATTTCAAAGTAATTAAAACTCATGGACTGCCTACTTGGCACTATCTTCTTAATTGATAATCAAAATGAGCAGATCAAATAAGTATGCTTTGAACACAGCTGATAATTGCCAGCAATTCCCTTTGAAATTCTTGGATCAGTTGGATTCCATCATTAAACTGGTTGTTTGCAAATTCGCTACTAGTTGATGCAAATCCACAAAGAAAACCCTTGCATAATACAACGATGACACTGGGTCTCATTAAATAACATAATAAGTTTTAGGATGAGATGAGAGGGAAATAAGTTGCTTAGAATTTGTGCTGCCTTTTTTTTTTTTTTTTTTTGCCAAATCAAGGCGATTGAGAGTGTGTAAAGGCAAAGAGCAAGACTCTGTTCACTGCACTGGACAATGTTGTGGTAGAAGTCAACCAAAGATTTAAAACCCCTTTAAAAGCAATGGGTGTTGTCCATTGTCACCCAAGTTGCATGATGGAACTTCCTTTTCCTCTCTTCTCCTGCATCTCCTTGTTTCATCACAAATCAACTCCAAACCTCCAGAGTACATTTCGGGGTCAGAGAATGGATATCTGTTCCATTCTGCTGGCAAACACTAAACTATACCTTAGAATGTGTTCCTGAAAGGTGGGGTGGTTTGCAGAACAAGATACATCAAAAACTTAATCGTAATACAGTGTAGTGTGTGCATACTTTCATTTCTTTAAAACAGTTTTTTTTTTTTAAAGAGTATATTACCCAACTATTCCTGTCCAGAAAGACAGATGTAGTTACAGTGGTACCTCGGGTTACAGACGCTTCAGGTTACAGACGCTTCAGGTTACAGACTCCACTAACCCAGAAATAGTACCTCGGGTTTTGAACTTTGCTTCAGGATGAGAACAGAAATCGCGCGGCGGCGCGGCAGCAGCAGGAGGCCCCATTAGCTAAAATGGTACCTCAGGTTAAGAATGGACCTCCAGAACAAATTAAGTTCTCAACTCGAGGTACCACTGTATTCTAAACTCCAGAACTCCACGCTGTTTCTTTATTGGAATACATAGCTTACTGCCATTGGGACAACACACAATCAGCTACTGAATGGCCCCTAAAACAGATATCTAGGGTGTTGAAGGGTTCTTTTCTGAACCAAATGCCTTACTAAGGCCCAGTGTGTAAGGGACCTGGACTGCAGAGAAAACTTACTCATGTAAGAAGAGTTCCATCACTACCCCTCCAGCCCACCGGGGTCTAGTTTGAATGCATTTCACCATGTGCTCTGTTCCCTGTACATGCCAATAGCATCTCTACCTGGGCAGCTAATTATTGGTGTACTAATGCTACACATATATGGGATGGTGCACATGGAACGTGATGGTGGCAGTGATAGCCACCAACTCTGATGGCTTTTAAAAAGCATTCAACGAATTCAATGTGGTCAAGGCTATTAGTGACTACCAGTCATGATGGCCATATTCTACTTCTACTGTCATAGGCATTATGCCTCTGAATACCAGTCTCTGGGAACTCCTGGTGTGCTATCAGGAGTCCAAGTTCCCTGCTTGATAACACAGTAAGCGTAGGTAATTAAAAAGGAGGATTTATTGCAACAACAGATAGCTCCGGACGGCTCTAACAAAGCCTCCGGCATCATTACTCAAGATGACCCTTCTGAAGACTCCTTCCGATGTTGACAGAAGATACTGAACTTATGACCCTTACGTCTCTTGTTTTGCTTCTTATCTAGCAGCCCTCCCATTCACCGTCTCTTCAGACTTAGTGGATCAGCTCCAACCTCTTCCTATTCTCAGAGGCTGTCTCTGAATTTGTTTGTGCCTAATTGTGCCTCCTGTGAATTTTGGCTGTATTCTAGCCTGCTCTCAGCTACTGCTTTATCAGCCTACCCATCAAGGTCAGGAAGAGCCGAAGGCTTCAGCTGTCTGCTCTCCCCTGCCTGCCTAACATCTAAGCCTCCCTGTTCCTGGCTTCTTTCTGCAGTTGGCTGCAAACCTTCGCTTGGAGCTGGCTCATTCCTGACATGGGCAGAGTGCTGTTGCGCTTATGTCTAGTTTGCAGGCTTCCCATAGGCATCTGATCACCCCAACCAGAGCAGGTTATGAGACCAGATAGTCCAATGACCAGATCCAATAGACTTGTCTTACATTCTTAAGTGTTTGAACGTGACAGTGGTGCACTGAGCACTTATGCAGGTAAACACTTTCTCCACTGCTTGCCTCCCATATAAACCGGGCCTGAGATTTGGGGTGTTCGCTTTTTTCATTCCTTTCCCCCACCCCATGCAATACAAAGGATCGGCTTAAGTGCATGTGTCCTACTACACGGAGTATTCCCTCCAAGAAAATTACACATGAACAGAGCCAGAATGTTCTTATTAATTGCTTTTGAATGCTGCAGTTGGTGTTTTGTGCTTCAGGTAGTGCTGGGATAATTGAAACAGCTGGGGGTGGGGGAGGAATCAAGTAGGATTCAAGGTGGTCTGCAAAGCTCTGGGGACAGATGTGCATATAAATGCACATTAAAAATAAACCCAAATAAATAAATACCGAGTTACTCGCTCTTATTTACTTCTTGCGATCCAGTGGGACAGAACTCATTCCCACAAGCTTAGATGCTTGCATTTTCTATTATTACTTAAGACTTTTAAAGGGGGGGGGGAATCTGGCTGAAGCTTATGTGATGTTTCAAAGTAAAGAGATGAGTAGAATTTGCATAATAGAATCACAAAAATGGAAAGCATGGAACATTTGATATTTAAAATAGTCTCATCTAAAGCTTTTAGCACAGGTAAGAAAGGTTAATAAAAATCCATCTATACAGCATATAAATTATTCCAGACTTTAAAATGTAAAACAAAATTATGTCCAATCCGTCATCCTGCCTTCTCTTACAAACATATGTCTCCTTAACAAACCTTTCCTACTTAAACACCTACTTGAAAAATTAAAGTGAAAAGCATCACACTTCTGACTTGTGGGAGCTATAATCCAGTGTCCAGTCACTTAGCTCTAGGACTTGGCCCTAGACCAGGGGTCGGCAAAGTTTTTGTGGCTTGGGCCGGTTCACGGTCCTGCAGACGCCACGGTGGGCCAGAGTGTGTGTGCGCACACACAAACGCAAACACTATTTCTGGCGCTCCTTCCGGTGTGAAGGAGGCGTGAGCAGCTTCCCATTGGCTGCAGGAGCTTCCTGCAACCAATGGGAAGCCGCCCAGCATCACAGAAGGCGGTCCCCGCTCTGCACCAGTTTAGCATGGCGCACAGGAGCCAACTGAGCAGGCGGCAGGGGTCCTTGGGCCTTAGGTTGCCAACCCATGGTGTGAGAGCACAGTGGAAGGTGCCATTGAGCATTTGCACCTTGTCTTGCCTGTGATAGTGAGTAACCAAAGCCAACCCTTCCATGCTTGGGAAGTGAACTCATGGGAGGGTCTGAGGGGTCAAAGACATGACTTGCAGCCACCATCACAGAAATGAAATGCTACAGAATGATGTTGGAGTACCTATGAGGAAAGAGTCGAAGTGCTGTACTGAAATCAGGGGCCAAAGATCCGTTTAGTATTTTGAGATTATAACAGTGATGGTGAGGTTAAAAAGAATTATTAGGGCTAGGCAGATCTGCCAGTTTTGGTTCTTTTAGTTTCTCATGTTCCTGATTCTGGAATTCAGTCCCCCTACATCGTTTGCAACAACAACAACAACAACAGATTCCTTACAAAAACTCGTCAGAATTTAGTCCTGAAGCACCACTTTAGCTAATGGGGCCTCCCGCTGCCGCCGCGCTGCCAGAGCACGATTTCTGTTCTCATCCTGAAGCAAAGTTCTTAACCCGAGGTACTATTTCTGGGTTAGCAGAGTCTGTAACCTGAAACATCTGTAACCTGAAGCGTATGTAACCCGAGGTACCACTGTATCCCTTTTTGTATGTTATTGTTATGAATATATTCATCTGAGTGCAGATGTCCCTCTAATAAATGCATGTTGGGTTGTAGAACTGCTTTGCAAAATTCAAAGAAGTGCAGAAAGGAATGGAAGCATGGGGGGGAACTGGTTGCTTTGTCAAACACAGGCAGAGGTACCCACCAGTCCAAAACACTACATCTTCAGATTCTAGATGCACAACTGAAAATTAGCACTGGCAGCCACCCGGTTAAAAGCAATCACAAATCGGCTTAACGTATATGTTTTTCGTCCATTCGTCCATCAGTTGCATTTGCATCTGAGTAAAACTAAATGTTCTGAAGCAATGTGTGTTGTTTTCTTTGTTTTTAGATCTTGCATCCATGTGTTAACAGCAGGCATCGACTTAGAAAAAGACACTCCCTTCTATCACAGGTATATTTTTAGTCAGTTAAACATTTGTTAATGGATTGACCTAACAAATTAAGAGAATAATATTGTGTTGTTGTTGTTTAGTCATTTAGTCGTGTCCGACTCTTCGTGACCCCATGGACCAGAACACACCAGGCACTCCTGTCTTCCACTGCCTCCCCCAGTTTGGTCAAACTCATGCTGGTAGCTTCGAGAACACTGTCCAACCATCTCGTCCTCTGTCGTCCCCTTCTCCTTGTCACCTCAATCTTTCCCAACATCAGGGTCTTTTCCAGGGAGTCTTCTCTCCTCGTGAGGTGGCCAAAGTATTGGAGCCTCAGCTTCACAATCTGTCTTTCCAGTGAGCACTCAGGGCTGATTTCCTTAAGAATGGATAGGTTTGATCTTCTTGCAGTCCATGGGACTCTCAAGAGTCTCCTCCAGCACCATAATTCAAAAGCATCAATTCTTTGGCGATCAGCCTTCTTTATGGTCCAGCTCTCACTTCCATACATCACTACTGGGAAAACCATAGCTTTAACTATATGGACCTTTGTTGGCAAGGTGATCCTACTGAAAAATCTGTGTGTCTGGCCTTCCTGCTTGCACAGACGACCGTTGCAACCATCATCTTCCCCAAGCAGTAGGAGCCTGCAGCTGTTGAAACAAGCAAGGCTCCTTTAAAAATACGAGTTCATTCGGTACAGCATGAGTGTTAACCTCAGGGTTGCAGGTTCGAGCCCCATGCTGGGCAAAAGAGTCCTGAATTGCAGGGGGTTGAACTATATGCCCCTATATGCCCCTTGCGGTCCCTTCCAACTCTACAATTCTGATTCTGCTTGGAGGATGGAGCTGACCACCCAGACTCAGCCTGGAGTTAATTGTTGCTTAAGCAACATCCTAAACCTATGCCAGTCTGAGTCCCACGTAGACTTGCCCATTCCAAATGCCTCACCTGCCTCCTAGGCACCATCATCAGAAGCAGAACAACAGCTGAGGCACAGCTACAGTTATACCTCGGTTTAAGTACTTAATTCGTACCGGAGGTCCATTCTTAACCTGAAACTGTTCTTAACCAGAAGCACCACTTTAGCTAATGGGGCCTCCTGCTGCTGCCGCGCTGCTGGAGCACGATTTCTGTTCTCATCCTGAAGCAAAGTTCTTAACCTGAGGTACTATTTCTGGGTTAGCAGAGTCTGTAACCTGAAGCGTATGTAACCCGAGGTACCACTGTACTAGCCATTGAAGCACCTTTTTTGGTTTTATCCAATGGATTGCAGTACATTCCAAAAGGTTAGCTATGTAAATAAGCCTCATTTCACGATGCAGGTTAGGCAAATGATCCATGCAGTCATTTCTGCAGACGGTGGGTCAATTTCCACCACTTGTAGCTACAGTTTGCACCAGCGTAGCTTGGAATCCTTGGCTTTATTGAGAAGATGTAAGTAGAGAATGAGATATAAAACATGGATGATTGTGATTGAAGTACATTCTCCCCCAGGGGATCGTGTCACAACTGATGGTTTCATTTATTTTTTGTGTCTCTTTAATGAAAATTCACTCTGCTGGATATTTAGCTAGCCCAAGGAAACTTTTCCATTTGTTATTTATGATGTGTAGAGTTTCTGTTCTGTAGGCTGAAGACACTATATCTTAGAACGAACCAGGATGCAGATTACTTCTCACTTGACTCTTCTTATTCAATTACTACCTTTTCTCTCCTCCTGTTCCACTTGGCTTGGCAATTGTCCCATTACTTTTAGCAACCATATGCAAGCTATTATTCATGCTAAATGACCAATAGGGGTTTTTTTTTAATGTATGAAAAAGTCTGGCTTTTTTCATTTATTTTTAATTTGCTATCAACTCTGTTGCTGTAACTGGTCATCTGACTGTCCAGTTACAAACTTGAATATTTCCGTCTTTACAGCACGAGGTGTAAATTCCAGCTAATATCTATTCCAGTAGGTGTTTCCTGTTTCCTCCTGTGCTTAAAGAGATTTCCCATCCTTTGCTTATTTATTCCGTGTCTCGGCCTTCCAGTAACAAGAGTTCTCTGGGCAGTGTGCAAAATAAAAATAAATCGCAAATACCATACTGTTGCAAATTAAGAAGCATCAGATAAGGCATTTAGAACTTGAAAGCAGATCACTTGATCAAGTGATCAATATATATATATATTTTAAAAAATGAAGCTGTGATGCATTAGAGCAGAGCAGGGATGGAGAACCTGTGACCAGGGATAGTTCAGTTGGTTAGAGTGTAGTAGAAGAGAAGAAGAAGAGTTTGGATTTGATATCCCTCTTTATCACTACCCAAAGGAGTCTCAAAGCGGGTAACAATCTCCTTTCCCTTCCTCCCCCAAAATAAACACTCTGTGAGGTGAGTGGGGCTGAGATACTTCAGAGAAGTGTGACTGGCCCAAGGTCACCCAGCAGCTGCATGTGGAGGAATGGGGAAGCGAACCTGGTTCACCAGATTACAAGTCCACAGCTCTTAACCACTACACCACACTGGCTCTCTTGGAGGTTTTTAAGCAGAGGTTGGATGGCCATCTGTCATGGATGCTTTCGTTGTGATTCCTGCATTGGACTAGATGACCCTTGTGGGTAACTTTCAACCCTAAAATTCTGTGTTTCTGTGATTCCCATAGTCATGTCTTGTTCCAGTTAGTTTCCATGGTCTGGCTTGTTGACAGCCGGCACTGGAAGCCGATCACTAACAGTGAAATGACTCTTACTGCGTTGTACGGGCACGCTGCGCTTAGTGACGGCTGTGAGTGAGGTATTGTGCTGGTACTCTGTACTTGTCTGTTTCTGCCTGCTTTCATTAATGCGCTTGGCCCAAGTACTCCCGCTTCCCTGGAATGGAGTCTGACAGTGCCATTTACTTTCCAAGTGCTGCTGATGCAATCTTACCCGCTAAGATGCAGAGAATCATCAATCACTGCAGGGGAGCATTTGCCACAGCAGTTGCCACAGCAAACAAGAGAGGGGAGCAAGAGGGAGCTGGCATGAACGAGATCTGCCTGCTGGGCATAATGGTGTTGCCACAGAAGAACAAGGCAGCCACGCCCTTGCCTGGCCTACTGCAGGCATTGATTGATTGCCATTATTTGGAGGACTAAATGCCCCCAGCTATGCACATGGGGAAATGCTCCTGTTGTTAGGTGTGGGACACATAGGCGGTAAGCACAACACATCACAACAAAGGTCTCTGTGGTTCGAATATAGTGGACTGCGGTTCCCATCATCTCTGACCATTGGCCGTGCTTGGTTCAGGTTGATGAAAGTCGGAGTCCTGCAATACCTGGAGAAGCACAGGTTCCCTTCCCTGATCTGTCTAGTCCAGCACCCTGTTTTCCCCTGTGGCCAACAAGATACTTCTGAGAAGACCACAAAGGTCTTGCTTTGTTACTGATATACAGCAGCACTTCTTCCAGACCTGGAGATAGGAACTGAGGTATGGAACTGAGTGCCCTCCAGATGTTGTTGGACTCCCAACTCCCATCAGCTTGACCCAGCACAGGCAATAGACAGAGTTGATAGGAACTGCATTTCAACAACATTTGGCAGAGTGGGGTGGGTGGGTCTAGGTTGGATACCTGTGCATTTACAGAAGGTAAAGGGACCCCTGACTATTAGGTCCAGTCGTGGCCGACTCTGGGGTTGCGGCACTCATCTGCTTTATTGGCCAAGGGAGCCGGCATGTATAGCTTCCGGGTCATTTGGCCAGCATGTCTAAGCCACTTCTGGCAAACCAGAGCAGCGCACAGAAACACCGTTTACCTTCCTGCGGGAGCGGTACCTATTTATCTAACTTGCACTTTGATGTGCTTTCGAACTGCTACGTTGGCAGGAGCAGGGACCGAGCAACGGGAGCTCACCCTGTTGTGGGGATTCGAACCGCCAGCCTTCTGATCAGCAAGTCCTAGGCTCTGTAGTTTAACCCACAGCGCCACCCGCATCCCGTGCATTTACATAGCAACTGCCTAATAGACCTCCATGAATTTGTCTCATCCCCATCTAATCTAAGAGAGCAGCCATCACCACATCTTCAGGCAATGGAGCTTATAAATTAATTCTGTGCTATGTACAGTGGTGCCTCGCAAGACGAAATTAATTCGTTCCGCAAGTTTTTTCTTCTTGCGAGTTTTTCGTCTTGCGATGCACGGTTTCCCATAGGAATGCATTGAAAATCAATTAATGCGTTCCTAGGGAAACCACCTTCAGACCAGGTCCGGGGACAGTCTGTCCCCCGACCTCTTCTGAAGGCTGGGGGGGGGGAACAAGGGCTTTTTTCCCACTGCCAGCCTTCAGAAGGCTGTTCTGAAGGCTGGCGGTGGGAAAAAAAGCCCTTCTTCCCACCTCCCGCCCCGCAAGCTCCGGGGACCTCCTGCCGGGCGCGCGAGGCTTGCTGACACTCGCCCGAAGCAGGGGAAGCCCTCCGGAGGGCTCCCTGTGCTTCGGGCGACAGGCTGCCGCCCCAAACCTCGTGCACCCGGCGGGACCTCCTGCCGGGCGCGCGAGGCTTGCAGACACTCGCCCGAAGCAGGGGAAGCCCTCCGGAGGGCTCCCCGTGCTTCGGGCAACAGGCTGCCGCCCCAAGCCTCGCGCACCCGGCGGGACCTCCTGCCGGGTGCGCGAGGCTTGCAGACACTCGCCCAAAGCAAGGGGAGCTCTCCGAAGGGCTCCCCGTGCTTCGGGTGACAGGCTGCCGCCCCAAGCCTCGCGCACCCGGCGGGACCTCCTGCCGGGTGCGCGAGGCTTGCAGACACTCGCCCGAAGCAGGGGAAGCCCTCCGGAGGGCTCCCCGTGCTTCGGGCAACAGGCTGCCGCCCCAAGCCTCGCGCACCCGGCGGGACCTCCTGCCGGGCGCGCGAGGCTTGCAGACACTCGCCCAAAGCAAGGGGAGCTCTCCGAAGGGCTCCCCGTGCTTCGGGTGACAGGCTGCCGCCCCAAGCCTCGCGCACCCGGCGGGACCTCCTGCCGGGTGCGCGAGGCTTGCAGACACTCGCCCGAAGC